AAAGAACGGTGACCTTGTGCGCGCTCTCAAAACTGGTGACATGTAAGCCTGTCTCCCCTGGCTATCTGTTCATCTGAGCTCCTGTTTTCAATTTCTGCACGTATCTGAACACAGAGGGAGATCTTAAAAAACGCGACAGCGGGCACATCTGTGCCCCAAACCAGGATCGGCAAAGGGTAATGACAACAGCGATGAGGCCCTGCTTGCTAGAGACCCCGGACTGTGTGCCGAGACTCTCTCATCCACCCTGCTAGGCTCTGTCCCAAAGTGGGGGGGCCCTGGTAGCCCCCACTGACCCTCTGAATCTGCCTGTTCCAGATTCCGGCAACTGACGGTCTCCCTCAATCTTCAAAGTGGCCAAGATAAATCGCCCCGGTTACCTGACTCTGGGGACCACCTGTTCCAAATTATTCTTCGCCCTCCAAATGTTTATAACCTCACCCCCCAAACAACCACCCACCCAGAGCGATCCAGCACCTTCCGGTAAACTCGATTTGGATGGCCTACCGGAACATTTTAGGGCCCCGCCACTGCCCGTAAACGTATTGACTCTTTTTAGGAACTGAAATGTGTCGCATTATATAGCATCAAAGGAACAAATCAAATTAGCCTTTGTAAATACACAGTGTCCTGTCCAGAACCATACACACAACCTGCTGAATATCATGACTCAGGAAGGTGCATGTCTGTTTTCTAAATACTTAGTGTGATTTTTCTTCCGTTTAAAACAACAACAGAATACCAGGGCAGAGTCCGAGAATAATTGGGCCAGCGCATTTCAGACCATCCCAATTTGGCATCTCCGTCCAAGGGAAAGGAGGGCAGAAACGTCCGCTCGGCCAAGGTGTTCACAGCACGTGGGAAAGGCACTATCTGCAGAGGTCTGAAGGCCTCGATCCTGGTTTTATTCACTCTGCAACCTCTCGTGGGCCATTTCACTGGAGACTCAGTTCTCTTGTTAACAAAGCTGGGATATGATAACAATTAATAATAATAATACCACCACTTAACTCGAAGAGCTGTTGTGAGAACCCTATCCTAAAAATACATGTCAATAATTGAATTCAGGCCTGGCATCCAAGCTATTTCATCATCATTATTAAACGCAAGGATATAATCTGCAAGTGGAGATAAATGGCAGAGACACCAGTATGATGGAAGTGACGGGGGAAAATAAAAGGAAAACAAGCAGCAAAAATAAATGTAAAAGCCTGTGGCTTCCTTCGTCCTCTCTCCCCTGAGTGCACCTGGCAGGTACTTTGATACCTTGAAATTGATTTTCGGTCACATGCCATGAAGAACAAGTCCCTGCCCCTTCGTTCATTTACAGGGACAAGTGGGTCTGAACCAGTCACTTCAAGCATCTGCCACCTGATGGAGGGGGTTTATCCTCGGATTAGGAGAGGTGTTAGTCAAACACCATTAGGCCAGTTAAGATCTTCGGAGGAGCGAAAATGAAGCATTGTCTCCAGTCAATTCTCTGCTAATCGTTTCCCTTCTAGAATCTTCTTTTCGTTCTGAGTGTGTGTGGAACTGTTTGAACTGCCACCAAACAATAAGGGGTGTGGGGAGTGGGCCATTCATGAAGCTGTCATGATTTGGGGGGTGGGGACTCGGCGGGCGGGTGGGGAGTGACCAGGGCGCTGTGGGGAGCGTGCCTGAGGATGTGTGTGTTTTCTGTCAACAGGCTGTGTTTTCTCAACTCGGGGGTTAATTCTCTGTAGAGATTCCTTTGGAACAGAGTTCACCAACTGCTTCTGAGAGCAGCTAGCTAGGGAGAAAAAAAAAAAGGTGTTCTTCCACCAACAAAACCCAGTCCTGGCAAGAGCCAGAAGGTTCGGCCTTCGGAGGTAACTGAATTACCAAGCCACTCCACGTCCACAAACCCCGCAGATCCGGAGAGCATGTCTTTAGGTGAATTTTGCCCCTTAGAAAACATCTCTAGGGCTGTTCCTGTCCCCCAAGGAGTGGCCATCAGGCCAGACAGCCTGGCATTTAATCCGTGCCTAGGTGAGAAGCAGGGAAGTTTCCACCCTGTCGTTGGGATTGAAAGCCTTCTCACCCAGTCCCCCTGAACCCAAGCCCCAGACCCGTGGCCACCGCCTCACGCTTGGGCTTTTCCTTCTTCCACGGGGGCACGTTTATGGTAAGGAGGCCTGCCCAGTGAAGACAAAGCCCTTCCTAGATGCAACCTCCACCCATGCCCCGTAGAAGGGAATGCACAGTGCGAGATGTCTAAATGAGATATGTCGGCTCTCTTCATTCAGTCCTGACAGCCACGGGCTCTCTCTCTCTCTCTCTCTGCGGAGAGAGGCATCTGTCATGAGCTGCTGGGAACCCCACTTAGCTACCATAACAGCCTGCGATTTTATTATACAAGGAGTTTATTGCTGGCCTAATTAGTTTCAAACTGGGCATTCCAGCTGAGGACACCTAAACAACATCTGGTGGAAGGGGATGGAGAGTGAGCCCTGGTTCTGAGCCGGTGGCGGGTGGATTTCTGCATAACTCTGGTCTCTCCCCGCCCCCCCCCACCTCCGGCCTGCAGCCCGCGCCCGAGACACAAGTTATCTTTGGAAAAGTAACCGAAAAAATAAGGCACTGTTTTTTCTTTGTGGGAAAGGAGTCATCTTGTCACGGGGGAACCCGAAACGTCTTAAAGTGGACGTGCTTGGACCGCGAATACTTTTTCACAAACTGCCGGGGTCCCAATATCCGGCTTCACCCAATTCAAAATGCACTTAGCTACACCGCAGAGCACTTTCGCCGGGGACTTTTTTCCTCGTTCCAACAGCAGCTAGCATTTTATCAATTTATCCATCTGGAACAGGCTTCGCAATCGAGTACTTGCAATTTAAGGCAGAAGTAAGACCCACATATTTGAAACAGCGTGTCTTGAGTGTTTTTGCCAAATGGTAATCCTATAACAAGTCAACAAATCATAGCTCTTTATGATGTGTTTAATACGACACAAAAAGCATGAAAAGAAGACTTTAGAACTTAAGCGATGAAAGCATCTGGTTTTTAAAAATCCCAAAGAATCGGGATAACATCTCCTTCTTTTCTTTTCTTTCCTTTAGCTATTGGACGTTAGGAAAAGAGACTGATCTGTATAGAGTATTCTCAGGCACACAGCCACCCCCGAGGTGAGCTGTTTTCAAGGTGGAGGAAAAACCCCAACTCCTTTAAGACAAAATAGTTAATACTGCGAGACTGGAGTTACCAGGGAAGAACCATCTTCCAACTACGCGTGGGACATAGGAACTCGGCTTTCAAAAATTCAGGCCCTTTCAGATCTAGCCATGTTGGTCCAAGGCGCCAAACGTAGAGTTTCCTCCAAAGGCAAGGAGATTGTGCATACAAAACACGATTTTATGCTTAGTCAAAAGCCAGATTCCAACCACCATCATTTATGACATGCATCTTTTATTAACTTTTCTCAGTCTGAGGATGTCCAAATGCAAAGAAGTATAATGTTGAAGGGGGATAAAGATGGGGAGAGAAAAGTGGGAAACATGCACATTTCTTGGGGAAAGCTGCCTGAAAGATTTTTCACTGAAGATTATTTTTCGATGGGGGGCTCCGGGCCCAGCAACCGCCCCCCCCCCCCCCCCCCCCCCCCCCCCCCCCCCCGCCTCCGCAAATGGCCCACAGGCTGGAAAGGCAGCTGCTAGTTCAGTACTCATATGCTGGCAGTAGAAAATTGCACTGGGGCAAGAAAGGGCTCATGAAACGAATAGATTTGGTTTGAAATACAGCAATTGTCCGCTGGTTATAATTTCCTTTGGAAGGGAGCTCCGTAACTCAAACATAATTCAGCACTCAAATCCTTCCTTGATGTTTGTAAATCATTCTACCTCCCCTCCGTTCCTGCTAACAACCAGCTCCGATGTTCGCTGCGCCTCGGCATTAAAAGGTACCTCCACTATGGGTGATTTATATCTCAACGTTATATATATAAAGCAATTAAAGATTACGTAGCATTTCGGAAAAAAAGGGTAGAAAAGAAAACGGTATCCATAAAGATGCAGCAGTCTTGCCTTTTAAGAATATAATTCCGACCCGGAGCAGCAGGCTCGCTGAGCGCCTTTGGGAGGAGCGGGGAGATATCTCCCCCGCCAAAGCGCTTCGCTTTCAAGCCCGGAGAAAGGCGCGCGGAGGATTTGGCGACGCGAATATTTTTACCAGTCAAGCCTTCCTAGGATTCCTGGAGCTTATAGACGATTTATTCGGGGGCAGGAAATATAGTTAAGGAGCTGCGGCCAGCAAGGCCGGTTCACGTCCAGACTGCACAGCTAAAAAACAATTCCTTTCTCCACTTTCTCCCGTTACAGCAAAACCCTCGCCTGCTTCTAAACGGTCTCCGGATGGATGCAAAGTTTTCTAAGTTTCCGACTCCGGCTTCGGCCAGGCACCCGGACGCCGGCTCGGGTGCAAAGCCCCGGGAGCCGGCCCTGCGCAGGCCGGGCGCAGCCGGACTTTGGAACAGAAATGCAGCTGGAAGGCGGCTCGGAGGCCGTTCTCGCCCCATCCCGGGGGCTCCGCAGACAGCGCCCCGGGGCGCGCGGTGCGCTCCCGGAGCGTCTCCGATCGGACTGGGCAGGGGCCGCAGCCGACTACCTGGGCCCTGAAACGGGCCAAACGCAGCCCACCGGCGTCTACACCGCCCGCGCGCCATGCACTTGTCCCGCGCGCGGGAGTGCAAACTTGAGTCGCTGTCCCCGTCGCTCCCCCGCCCCCAACGACCCGCACAAGCGCAAAAGGAAACTGAGGCCCGGAGCCTGGCTTTTCCGAGACGGAGTCGGCCCGCTGTCCCCCGCCGCCCTCGCGCCTGTGGCGCCCTGGGGGCCCCGTGCGCCCCCCGAGCGCCCCGACAGCTGCGGAGGCCCCGGCCCGGCGGGTGCGCGAGCGAGGCGCGAGGAGCCGGGTCGGCGTCAGCGCGGGGAACCCCGGCGGAGCCCGGCGGGCGGCCCGGGGTGGGCGCCGCGGGAGGTACTCACCGCGCGCAGTGGAGAGGGCGCCCCGGCGCGGGCGGGCGCGGGTCCGACGCGGCCGGGCTGACTGCGCCGGGCACGGTGCTGCTCCGCCGCCGCCGCCGCCTCCGCCTCCGCCTCCGCCTCCTGGGCTGCCGCGGCCGCTGCCTGCGCGGGGAGGACCGGCCCCTTCCCCTCCCCGGCCCGGGCCCTCCCTCTGCCCCCGCCCGGTCCCCGCGCCGCTGCGTGGGCGCGTGGGGGCGCCGAGGCGCGGCGCTGGGCTCGGCGGGCGCACACCCCCGGCGGCTGGACGCGCGGCGCGGGACTCCGGCCCTGCCGCCGCCGCCGCGCTGCTCTCCGCGCCTGCAGCCCAGCCGAGCGCGCCCGCTCCCGCCGGCCCCGGACGCGGCGAGGCGCGCAGCCTCCTCCCCACCCCCCACCCCCGACAGCCCGCACCTCCTCCCTCCGCAACCCAGGCGCGGCCCCTGAGAAAGGCACCTCTGCAGTCACGCTGACATTCATTCATTCATGCTCCTAGTCATTCATTCAGCCTGCACGGAGCTTCTACTGCGCTAGGTTCGACTCCTGAGGGATGCAGCTAGAACGAGACGGGTTCGTTTTCTGTCCTCGGGAACTTACATTATAGACCATAAACTAGTAGAGAAGCAAGGTAATTTCAGAAAGTTAGAATTGTTATGGAGCGGGGGGAGTATGCGCCGGGGGAGCAGGGACAGTAATCTTAGAAGAGTCAGGAAGGAGGTGACAACTGAATTATGAGAAAGGCCATTGCTTGGTGATACCTGGGGGAGGGGAGTTCAGGGATCATCCATCTACTTTTCACCCACTTTACAGATAGGGAGGCTGAGGTCCCAAGAACGTAACTGGCTCATCCAAAGTCAGGGGCACCACCCCGTCCACACCCCCCCTCTAATTGAGGTACCCCACTTACTTCACGCTCTCCGGATCGCCTCTGTCAATGCTAAATGTCAGGAACCGAGCCTAGGCTTCTTCCTCCCTCACAATCACTTCATTGTGACACATCTAGGATGCTTCAGTCCAAAAACAATACCAGCAGCTGCCATTTGTAAAGCTCACTAAAAAACCGGGTGCCCAGATAAAGTTGAATTTTAGAAAATCAAGAAATAAAATAAGATTTAGTATAAATCTGTCTTATGCAACAGGTGGTGATACTTACATTCCAAGAGTATTCATTGTTTCTCTGAAATTCCAATTTAACTGGATGTCCTATATTTTCTTTGCTAAATCTGGCAACCTGAGCTCATCCACCCCACACCATCCTTATCTCATTTAACCCCCAAAGAGACCCAAGGTAGAGGCTGTGCGCATGCCCAGTTTACAAATGATCAAGTCCAAGTTGAAGGAAGGCAGAAAGTGGCTGAGCCAGGGCTGAAATTCAGGTCCAGCTGATCCCAAAGCCCTCGATCTTGAGATATAATATCGAGACTTCAACTCCAGTTGCTGGGTTGCAGGAAAGCTGATAAAACTTAAGATCCTGGACTCCTCATTTCTGGATCTGTTTTTACCGTTCTGCCATTCTGTACATTCGACATGAACTAGTGACCTTGTGAGCACATTTCTAGGTCCCTGTCAACATACTGACATTTAGTAAAAAAACAAAAACAAAAACAAAAAAAACATACTGACATTTAGTTGCAATCAGTAAAGACCACTGTCTCTTTCCATTCTGGTTTCCCAGTGTAGTACTCAATCCTGAGTAGGTGGTGTGGGAGTGGCTGCTGGAATTTTGGGGATCCAGTTGAGGAAAAGTTGGGAATTTTGTGATGTTTGTGGTATTTTTCAGCTTCTTAAGATCTGAATTTGTTGGGATTTATTTTCTTAAATTCAAAGGCATATTCACTTTTGGACCTAGTTTTGGACTTGTATTATTTTTCTTTTTTTATATATAATTTTTTAAAGTTTATTTATTTAGTATTAGAGAGAGAGCACAAACTGGGGAGAGGTGGAGAGAGAGGGAGACACAGAATCCGAAGCAGGCTCCAGACTCTGAGCTGTCAGCACAGAGGCCCCATGCGGGGCTTGAACTCACGGCCTGCGAGATCATGACCTGAGTCAAAGTCAGACATTTAACTGGCTGAGCCACTCAGGTGCCCCTGGACTTATATTATTTTTCTGAAATAGGGCCCTCAAGTTGGGTGGGCCTACTACGTTTACATCCACCTGTGGTCCGGACTGATTCACCCCTTTTGACTCCCAGAACTGAGGATCGAAGCAAGTGTATTCAGTAATCGTGGCTGTTCTTCCGTGAGCCAGGTGAGCCCCAGGCCTGTGGCTTCTAGATGAAGAGGCCTGTCCTGCTTCCTGGAAGCAGAACGTACATATGTACTTGGCCTTGCTTTCCTCATCTCTAATATGGAGATAGCAGTACCTGTATTATACTATTATCATGATAATTCACTGAGGTCACGCTGGTGAAACCCTTTCTATCATACTGTACCTTGGACCAGTGCTGCTCCGCAAATATTATTACTGTACACACAGCTTCACGTCCCACGGCATCTTGCAAAAAGCTCCAAGTCATTATACATTGAGGGTCTTAATGCTCTCCAGAGGGGTTTAATTTATCTTGGCCCACGAGCCTTAGTATAATGGTATTTAAACATTAGTAGTAAGCAGAATTATTTTTTTCTAAAGGAATAGAATGGGATAGACTGGCATAGATTATACCAACTAAATTGCATTCCATAAGAGTAAGTGTGTGTGTGTGTGTGTGTGTGTGTGTGTGTGTGTGTGTGTGTTGTGTTGGGTCAGGATGGGTTTCTTGCAGATCATTGAGGAAATGCCAACAAACACATTAACTAAGGGTACTCTACGGAATACAAAGGGTTAATCTGTTTCCTTCAAACCGGTTCACCCCTTCACCAGAATCTGGCCCATTATCTCATAAATCACAGCCACACCCCACAGCACCTTGAGAGATAAACAGGAGGCAGGTGCTGATTAATTTTATTTTTCCCTTTTCTTGGGGCAGTGGCTCTCAAAAGGGGCTTCGCGTTAGATTCTCCAAGGGAGCTTTTAAAAATCCGCATGCTGAGGCCCCACCCCAGACCAATTAAACTAGACTCTCTGGGGGCGGGACTGAGGCATCAGTATTTTTTAAAGCTCCCAGGGTGATTCTAATGTTCAGCAGAGGGTGAGAGTCCCCATCTTTGGAAGTATAAGGACCTGACCACAAATTCACAGCAGGTGAGGTAGATGTCTAGCTAGGAGCTAAGCCTTCCAATTCTTAGTCAAGACCACCTAAAATGCAGCAGCCTCCCTATGTAGCAGCGCCCCCTTTCCGTCCCTTCCTTTCCTTTGATTTTTTTTTTTTTTTTTGCTAAGTATTTGCCCTCATTTTGTAATGACCAGCAAAATAATCCCAGACGAAATCTGAAAATGCTGAACCATAAAGCAGATTCTTTGCAGCATAGACCACAGGCATGCCTCCCCTGGAGTAAATCACTTTTTCCCCCCAGAGTCTTCCAAGTAAATGTTCTCTGAAGCCAGAAGACCAGCTTAACTTAACTTGGAAAACTACAAATTTGACAAAGTATCCAGCATGTATATACATATCCTACTAACACACGTGTGTATTCTCTATGCCAAATCATGCCTTATTTCTATACACATTCTTCTCCCACCTGCAAAGAAAAAATACTCCAGCTTTTTTTTTTCTTTTTTATGCATTCATTTAAACCTTGGTTCTTTCCAAAAAGGATTTGAGGCAGCATGCAAAAACATAAATATACGAGAACAGAATGACACAGGAAAAGCAGGTGAAGGGGAAACATGGGGAGGAAAAGAAAAGAAAGCCAAGGCTGAGGTTTGCATACCAAATGTGGGCTAGGAGGTGCTGAGCACTTATCAGACCAGTAGATGGAGAATTAGATGCTGAACTTCCTGGCAGTCAAGGCAAAGAAGAAAATGTGATCAATTACATCAGTGGCTTTCAAATTTTCTTTTGTTCAAAGGCAAGCACGCACAGGAGCTAAGTATAAAAATAGGGGGTGAGGGATCCCAGCCGCAATCTCATATCTTTCTCCTGTGGGCACTTGTAAAGGGTCTTAAAAGAACCCACAAAGTCCTACAGTGTCAAGATTGAAAACCATAAATTTCAGAGTGCTTCCCGGCATTCGTGAATCTCATTGCCTATGAGGTAGAAACAAGCAGAACTACTTGAAGCCGTCCGAAGTTTGATTCCTGATATTGATACAGGAGAGAAGGGTTCCCGTGAGTCCTTATCAAAGAGGCAATATGGGATATGGATGGGAGTGGGATAGGGGATCTTTTGCACACATGTGAATATAAAATACCCCTTCAGCAAAAAGATAAAATCTTACATTCTCCATAACCCGAGGGCACAAAACAGGCATACTTTGAACAGCTCCCTGGTCAATGGTTTCCGAGTAGCCTGCCTCTTTGTATTTAATACCTCAACTTCATAGAAGGCATGACTCTCAAAATTACGAGACCAGGATTTATAGCGAAAAACTCTTATTTGTAGCCTCAAGACTCTATGTAACATTTCTACTGGAATAATATGTAGGACAGTAGGACACGTAGTGAAAATGTGTCAACTACTATTGAGACAACATCTGAATCACATTTTTGTTTTTTTTGTTTTTTGTTTTAATTTTTTTTAATGTTTCTTTATTTCTGAGAGACAGAGGCAGAGACAGAGACAGCATGAACAGGGGAGGGTCAGAGAGAGAGGGAGACACAAAATCCGAAACAGGCTCCAGGCTCTGAGCTGCCAGCACAGAGCCTGACGCGGGGCTCGAACCCATGAGCCGTGAGATCATGACCTAAGCTGAAGCTTAACCGACTGAGCCACCCAGGCGCCCATGAATCACATTTTGAAAAGCGGAAAGAAGGGGACGTGCCATCAAATATGTCCATGTCACCACGTACACATCGACTATTTGTGGCAAACTTAAGCAATTGCTTGGTGGTCAACCTTTCAGCATTTTACCATCTTACCAAGCTCGTTTGGTAACTTGGTCAGCATTTTAAGTGTTTGGTCCCATTTTAGGAAATCGATTGGAGGCTCT